GATTATAAGTCATAAATTATCTACTTACCTTCTGAAATAAGTTTGTACTGTTGTGCATGCCCTTAGGTAAATATGTTGTTGTTGTTGTTGATTGCCATCAAGTCAAACATGACTCATAGTGACCCTCTGAGCAAAAAACCTGAAGCCTTTCTATAACTATCATTGTTTCTCAAAGTTCATAGTGTTCCCAGAGGTATGTTCTTTAGGAAGTCGATGCCACTCTTCCTTCCAATAGTTAACTTAGTATGAGGGGTTTTATATAATTATTTAACTTTATGAAAATTTGTAAATTGATTTCCAAACAAGACTCAAAAGTAGTTGTTGTCATATTATCCTGATTGAATTCACTGCCCTCATGGAATTTCCGTGGCTGGAAATGTTATGGAAGCTGACTGTCATACTTTTTTCCCCCCTTGAGCAGCTGGTACTGCTGGTCCTTTGCTTAGCTGCCAAGCCCTTACCCACTGTACCGCCGGGACTCCTTCATAGAATACTAAGTAACAGTGCCATCGTTCCTAAATTTATGGAGAATTATTTTCCCAGTACGTCCTTTTCTTTTCTGAATAAACCTGAGTGGCCAAATGTGACTCAGAATTTAATTCATGCCACTGGGACGATTCTCGCCTAGTGGTAAGAATCTGCGCTACAATCCCAAAGGCAACCCACCAGCAGTTCCATGAGAGAAGGATTGGCAATCTCCTTCCAGGAAATTAACTTCCTCTGAAAACCCACTGGACGGTCAGGTATGGGTTGATTCCCACTTGACAGCACACCGCAACAACAGCATACCCATAAAGATATGAAAAGTTCTTTGTAAAAGAATGAAAAATTGAAATTCTATAAAGAGTGAACCAGACATTTTGCCCACATTTCCCCAGCCTCCCAACTTGTTGCGCTCTCTGCTCCATTCACCTGAAATAGTCATCGCTGCCCGTCTCTTTTTTAAAATAAAACATGTCCAAACCAGGCTGCTCCTTGGAGGACATATTTTGGGCATGTTGCAAGGAGGCATCAGTCCTTGGAGAAGGATATTATGCTTGGGAGGATGGAGGGACAGCACAGGAGGGGAAGACCCATCGATGAGATGGATTGACTCAGTGACTGGAGGACTGGGGGTAGGTGTGTCAGAGACAATAAGGTTGGCTCAGGATAGAGCAGGGTTTAGAACAGTTGTACAGAGGGTCGCTATGAGTTGCAAGTGACTCGAAGGCATATAACAAAAATTCTCAAGGAGTGGAGTTCTTTTGGTACTGTGGTTCAGATCTTTTAAAATAAATCATGCCTACTTCCAAGGAGTGTGGTTCTAGTGTTACTGTGATTAAGACACTTGACTGCTAACCAGGAGGTTCATGGTTTAAACTGGTCAGCTTCTCCATTGCAGGAAGAGGAATAGTCTGCTTCCAGAACAGTTAACATCCTTGGCAACCTGATAGCCCAGTTCTACTCTGTCTGCTGTTACTGTTTAGAGCTGAAGTCCATTCAGTGGCAGTGGTTACTTTCAAGGAAAATTGAGTGTTACATCCTGAAGACCACTTTCCTTAATTCAACTGAAGTTAAAGAAGCATTTTCTCTTGTCTGGATATTTTTTTCTTCTTCTTAGCACATACTATTTTGTTATCTGAGAATTTGTTTGTCTTAGTCACTAACCAACTTTCTTGACAGCAGATCTCTGTGAAGTTCCAAAAAAATCTTAGAATGAGACCTTTGGCATAAATGATACATTAAGGGAGATAACTGAATACATTAAACTAAATGCCCTCTAAATGCCTCTAAAGTACTCAAGAGCAATGGTGTCTCTCTGGAGGCTAAGGTGCGCCTGATATAGGCCATGGTCTTTGCAATCACTTGTTATGCATCAGAGAGTTGGACAGTGACCAAGGAGGCTAGAAGGAGAATTGATGCCTTTGAGCTGTGGTGCTGGAGAGGCGTATTGAATGTACCATGGAGTGCCAAGAAAACAAATAGATTCATCCTGGAGAGGGTTAAAGCAAGATACGCCTTGGAGGCAAGGATTCTGGGGCTTCGTCTGACATACTTTGGGCATGTTGGAAGGAAGGACAGATCCTTGGAGAGGGGCATCATGCTTGGGAGGGTGGAGGGTCGGCGCAAGAGGGGAAGACCCCTCTATGAGACGGATGGATTCAGTGACTGGGATAATTGGGATGGGTGTGTCAGAGGCAGTGCGATTGGCACAGGATAGAGCAGGGTTTAGGGCTGTTGTACATAGGGTCGCTATGAGTCGCAAATTACTTGAGGGCACATAGCAACAACAACAACAAATGCCCTGAGGACCAGGCCGAGGGGGGGGGGAGTGAAAAACCACAACCACAACCTCTAACAAAGGGCTTTGTTCCAGGGGAAGGTAAGCCTGAGGACAGTCATTGCTGCTGTGCTCCTCAGGAAAACCAGGCAGTTCTCTGTGGAAGCCGTGGGGAAGCAGAGGTTTATGGACTTGGGCCTCTCCCCTGCAGCCACTGTTTAGTCAGGCTCCAGGCCACAAAATCTTTCTGTTGATTGAAAGGCTCACTTAAGGAAGATTTTTAGGGGCTTTTCACGTTTGTTTCTTAAGCAGTCAGAGGTAGCGCTGGTAAGGTAGTCTGTAGGGCATTGTGCTGCTAACCCGAAAGCCACCATACCTTCCAGTGGTTCAAATCCACTAGTGACTCAGGGGGAGAAAGCTAAACAAGCTTCTCCTGCTGACCCTGGAGGGTCAGCTGTGAGTTGTTTCTGATACAGCAATGAGTCCAGTTAGGGAGTCAGAAATGATGATGTAAACAAGATATATGCCGAGGCAAGTGTATAGTAGGACTAAGACAAAAATGTTATTTTCTATGGATGTGTAATTGATGATTTGCAATTTTGTTATTCTTATAGTTATCATTGTCATTAATTTAGCATGCCTTAATTATTAAGGGAACTCTAAAGGCTATACTCCAAAGTCTGTAAGGAGCTAGGTTCTTAACCCAAAATCTAAGCCTCCTTGATAGTTTGAAACCATCAATCTGGCTCTCAGGGAGAAAGATGGGTACTCTCTTCCTGCGTGAGTCAGCCTTGGAAACCTAGTGGAGGATTAGCATTGAGTTCGTGCCAAGCGGATGGCATGAGTTAAGTTGACTTTTACTGTGGTTGGAGTCCCTGGATGATGCAAATGTTTGAGCACGGGGCTATTAACTGAAAACTTGGCAGTTTGAATCTACCCAGGGACCTCTTTGCAGAAAGACCAGAAGAAAGCTTCCCAAAATTTCCCAGCTAGGAAAACTGCAGTGCACACGTCTATAGAGACAGTAAAGCACATAGGGTAACCATGACTCATTGGCAGCTAGTCACGTTGTTTTCAGATAATTTCTTACTCTGTCTACCCTACTGGAGTGTGAAGCCTTCCTTTTTCCATTACTCATCTTCTCCTTCTGACTCTTTCTTGAACCTTTTCCTGCCTACCACACTATAGCACACGCATACAAGGTGATACTGCTGACCTCAGGTAAAGAAAAGGTTCCTAACTCTAGGGACCTCTCTTTTCTTGCCTCTTTTTAAGCAACTGTGGCCCCCAAAGCTGACACTACTCCTGGACATCACTCACATTATGCCATTTTTAGTGTTTTCCTCTGCTATCCAATCTCCGTTTCCTTCCATACAAACCCCTGACCTCAACTCTCCACTGACTTAATCAGTTACCCAAAAAGTGAATCTATTCTGTGTTGATGAATGATAACAAGCGAATGAGAAAAGCTAGTCCCCTTCTATCCACCCTTTACTTGATAATATTTATTTTTATTCTGATTATTTAAATGTAACATGCCCCAAATGGTGCCCAAGCAAAAGGAGTAACTCAGCACCTGGTACAGCAACTGGAACTAGTTTATTTGATCAATTCAAATAGCCAATGAGTGAGGGAATGAGTGATGTATTTGGATTCCTAGTCAGATGGAACAAATGACAGACAAATTAATGAGAGGAATATTTGTAGACAGTATTTTGCAGGTTCATGGCTGACATTCCTCTTAAATATTCACCTGACCCCACTCTCATATTGGGGGGAGTGGGGGAGAGATATGTATGTAAAACTCGAAGCTTTAGTGGAGATGAGCGAGAGGAAATCTAGTCACCTCCTTCCTTCCTCAACTACTCTCACTGTCTTTTCTTTCCTAAATGTATGAACATTTAGTTCATATGCTTTCAACCATAAGCCTCAGAGGAATCAACATTTTGAAGAGAAAAAGGAAGGAAATCAGAGACGTTAGACCTTCTGTCCTAATAAACTTAGGTTGAAACTTGAAAGAGTAGAAAATTGAAGATTACCTCTCTTTTTTTCCTTACAAATAATTTCCTTATAGTCTGCTTTTGTTTTGGGGAGTATTTTTCCTCAGACATTACTAACATACAGATTTGACCTGGACAGAGGCTTGGAGAAGCTGTCTTTACCTCTTAGCATTGAGCAAAGGTAAAAACTAAGAGACTTGTGGAGATCCCTTACCATGAGTCCTACGAAGCCCTGGTTGAGTTTGCTGTCTTGGCATAAATGTGATTGGGACTCTACCGAAAAGAGCTGTGGATGATAACACACTCAGGTCCTCCATGCTCGCATGCTCCCTTCCTCTCTTTTATGAAATATACAAATATGTAAGGGAAACGGGGTAAAGAAAGTAAAGCTAGTAAAATTCTCATTGTGCCCAAATTAGGCTTTTACATGAATGGAAACTGAACCTTCCCAAATTCTAAAAGGTGTACACCTGCAAATGCTTCTGTTCATCTTGTCTGCCAAGAATTAACAATCTTCTGTCATGTTCTGAATGTCCGACCTTTCTATCCTGCTTGAAACAGATGCTACTTCCTTACTAATCACAGCCTCCTGTTGTCGCCATGTACCATGTTGAATCACGTAATGTGTAACGCCATTCCACCACCTTCTCTCCATCCCTCATTTTATCCAAGCATGTAGTGTGCTATTACTCTGCTACTACTGTATACACTCTGTATACATTTCTGTTCTTCCTTGCAAGACTGTGAATGCTTCGGCCACTCCAATCGATGCAGTTATATCGATCTGCTAAATACAGTCATTTGCGTGAGCTGTAAACACAACACTAGAGGGCAGCACTGTGAGTTATGCAGGCTGGGCTACTTCAGAAATGCTTCTGCACAGCTGGACGATGAGAATGTGTGCATAGGTCAGTCCCATTATAATTTCAGCTATTGTTCTGTGCCTTTCAAGCTATGGGGAGTTCCTTAGGGTGGAGAGCTGGTGATTGGCATCACACCTGAACCAGAATGAATTTCCTCAATGACATTCTTGTGTTGGTTAACAACAGAGCTGGGGGAGATGCATATTGAGTCCTTGTGTTGCTAATTTTTTAAATGATGATATGAAATATTATGTTTAGGAGCCAGAGTGTTTCTTTCTTTTCTTTTCTTTTGTTTTTTTGCATGAAATATTAAAATCAAGTAATATCAACCTGACCTTCAGTTTTATGTATATTTTTTTTAATGGAGACTCATTATATTGGATTTAATCATGACTATGAGAAACTGGAGTACAAATGTCAGTTTGATAACTTATTATCAACAAACATTGGATGATTAAAATTTTTCATTTTTTGAATTAAAAGCAACTGGTAGTATAGAAGGGTTGCCTGACTATTCCATCTATAGTAACAAAATTCCATTTATTGAATTTTTCCTGTATCTCCTGAAAAGAGAAGTGATTTCTCAAAACTATTTGAGTCAATCAGTTCTCTTCGCTGCCACAAAGCACAGCACTGGTCCCTTGCAGAGCACTGCTTGTGGCTTAGGAAGGTGGAGTGTCTGTCCCACTCAAAAAGCGTCTCCCACATTTTCCTTAGTCAAGTATGCTTGTCATAAAAGAATAGAACTAAAATACTTAAAAAAAACCTACAAAAAAGAAAAAAAAAACAATGAATGGAATTTCACTTTATAATTTTCTTTGAAGAAATATGTATATTTGAAGGACAGAAGGAGATAATATGTCTGTTACCATACCAGTAGGCAACCAGCTTCAAATGTAGAAATGTTCACATAGAGATAAGTTTAACATAGACAACACTAGCTGAGAAGTGACAGGTGATCTTTTCCTCAAAAACAAAAAAAAAGGAAAAAATTAAATAATTTACATTTCTGGGACCATAACTCTTTGGATTGTCATGATCTTATAGATACTTAGACCAGTGTCACCTGAGATAGCTTTACAAGCTGTTTTGAATTAAATTTTGCCAACTTTATCTAATACCACTTATGTTGACAATATGTCTTATTTTCTCCAAAGCTCTTGCTAATACATTATTTGTGAGTTAGCAGAGAAATACTGGACTTAAAAGCTGAAGAGTGTGTCCAAGCCCCAGTATATTAATATTATTATTATTATTATTTAATAACTCTGGGTCTTGGCTAAATCATTCAATCCTCGTGAAATCAGAATCACAAAGAAGGCACAGGAGACACTTTGTAAACTGTGAACTGATTTGCAAATATGTTCTATTACTTAATCCTCATTAATAAAACAGTGAGGTAAGTATATTACAATGACAGTTTCCCCTCCTTTTGAGCTGCGAAAAGCAAGACAAGTTAACCCAAATCATACAGCTTTAACAAAACATTTCCTCACATAAGAAGCAAAGCACTTCTTGGCACTAGAACTTGAACTTCCACACCATCAGAACTTCTAGCCACCTTGACACACAGCAGATCTTGATAGGCATGTATATATTTATGCATTTATAGATGACATCAGCAATTCCATTATGAGCTTATGAGGTGAAGCTCATTGACTTCATACAATTTACTTTACAAGATTTGAGGATATTAATACAAACCAAGAGACATATAACTGAGTTTTGAAGAAAGAATTGCACTGCAATGAATGTCACTTGTGAAAATATATAAACGTCATGCTATAAATATGGAAACAACAAAGAATAAAATAAGTAACACTAAATAAACTAAAATGACTAGCAAGCCTAATCATTTTACAAAAACATATAAGATTTCAGTGTATTATCTTATTTTGAAAAAGATCCTTTGTAAATTTCTAAAAAAAAATCCATAACATTTCTCAACACAGATAATTTAACCATGTTGTAATTTTATCCATAGTATTATATTATCATGAAGCTTGACCCTTTTTTCCAGTGTTAAGGCAATCTGTAGACATTCCTGTCCAGGTCAAAGTAATATGGTTCTGTCTGAAATCCATGTTTGATTATGACAATCTGTCTGCTTTTGTCTTTTAAAGTCAGTCAATTTTCATCTTCACAATCGATAAAGATTCTTAATCTGTATCTTTGTATGTATTTAACTAAAAAATTAAGAGCAATTGCTTTCTATAGTTCTGAATCATTGGTAAATGAAAAATTATAAAGTTGGTGTGTGTTTTTTTAAATCAAAGAGCTATTTGACATGTTGTGCCATTAAAAATCTTATAAAGTAAATATGAAAATGAACATTTTTAAAGACTCAAAGTGAAGTACATTTTCCCTATACACCAAAGGTATTTCCTTTTTTTCTAAATGGAATATTAGCTTTTAAAATTTCAACTGAAATAGTTTGCCTAGGTCATATATTATACATTATCATTTGTCCTTACGGTATGTATATATGCAGGAAATTAATCAGCTAAATCATCTGTAGATTCCCCTTTCCCCCACCTGAGCTAAAGGGGAAAAGGGAAGAATTTGCTCTCCAAAGGTCAGCTGAAGCCTGTGACTCAAACTGTCAACCTTTACTCTCTAAGATGCCCTGAAATCATTGTTTGTCTATCTTTAAACTCCTTAAAGGGTTAGAAGGATCCTTAAAGAGGAAAGATTGAGAATCAAATTAAGACAATACACTACAAGTAATTAAGAGTTCACTTTTATGCCATTTTGGATAGAAAGTACAAAGAAAAT